CCACAATACTCTGCTTACAGTAGTCAACCCCCAGACTCTTGACAGACCGAAATTGAGGTAGCACCTGGACATATAAAAATGAATGCAAATTAAAAATTTTAAGCAATGATTAGATATTTCTTATCTAAATATTGGTTATGGCCTTGTATATAAAATATGTCTATATAGCTCAGTATTATGTAGAAATAGATATCACATCATATGGCTAAATGAATAACTTGCAATATTTCATTTTTTTCCTCATCCTTCCCTACAGAGTATTATCTTTATGTATATAAAACTTATAGCACTAATCCTTTAATGATAGACAAATAGTATAGAGTTGGGTATCTAATACAGACACAGATATTAAGACTAGACTGAAATTAAGTTTAAATTGAGATTAAGTTCAATTTCCATTCCAGTTTTCTCCTATGTAAATATTCCCATAAATTTATAAGATGACTGAAAAAGATCAAAGGTGTTCGGTGATGACAAATTTCTTTCTCTGCACCAAGGTGACTTACACATACATGATCTGATCAGAACACTGTGTGTGTGTGTTAACACTGTGCTTTCATTACAAAATTAATCAACCTAATTATAAATCTCTGCTTTTTACCTACTCAAACTGAAATTCATTATCATGTTGTCTTAGTAAGAAATGATGCCCAAACTCCCAACAAACTTTCTGTGTGCCCAGAATGCAGTGCATAGAGTGAGCCCTCGAAAGCAGTCCCACAACACTATCAGTGTCCATGACTCTATCTGCAAGGACTGGACCTGACTCCCTGGGTTTTTGTCCCCATGGTAGATAAATATTTCCTCTCCCACCTGATTCCTTACTTCTCTTCCTACAGTCATCTCTATCTGAAGAACAAAATTAACCCACCAAATGAAATGCCATTACTAAAAATGTCCAAGAGTAGGCCAAGAAGTATTTAGGAATAACATTCTTGAGCTATGGATTTTTAAGAAGTTAGGAAGGTCTTCCAGATAAGAGGGAAAATAGGGAGATGAATGAAGGAAATAGCAAAATAATAAGAATAAGAATAAATCAAATTTTTAAAAATCAAAACCTATAAAAATCCAGATCCAAATGATTTTATTTAACCTTGATGACATTGTCTAACTCCCTCTATCCTTCCGCTCGCTATTTTTTTTGCTCATTTCTCTCTTCCTTGATTCCTTGTTTTGGAATTTTTTTTTTTTTTGTATTCTTCCTCTTTCTCCTTCATTATTATAATCTTTGGTCTTTTCAAAAAACACCCATAACTTTTTAGTGTCTGGTAAAAAATCAGGTACAGATGATACAGAAAAAGGCATAAGACATAGTTTGTGCTTACACACCGGTTACAATGCAAGTAATTGTAATCACTGATTGGTAAATAATAATACTAATACCACCAACAACAACAAAATTGAAATAGTATGTGAAAAAATGCCACGGGAAGTTGGCAAAACATGTATAATTTTGGTAGAGAGATTTTGTGGCATGAGTGACCGAAGAAAACATTCAAGAGGAAATAGGACTTGCACAGAGACTTCCCGGTCCTAAGGAAGTGTAGATGAGTGAAACAGTGTTGAAACTGCCTCCTGTGGGTTAATGAATCATACAAAAAAAAAAAAAAAAAGACAAAATACTCTCTGCCGAGCTCCAGGCCCAAGCCCAGACCCAGCTCCTAGTTCACTGAACCCAGTGGCTCTGACGAGGAGTTTAGCATGTATACCAAAGACATTAAGAAGATATCAGAGGGTTTTTTCTTCCTTTCATTTTATATTTTTAAGGTGTAGAGTATAGAAAGAAATGGATGAGACTGCAGATAGATTAGGAAACTATAATACTCCAAGCAAAAAGTGATAAAGGCATGAATTAAGGTGATGTCAATGGAGATGAAGAAGGGGGAAAAGATTTTAGAGATTATTAAAAAGTAAAATTATAAGACTTAAGGAGCATTTAAATATATATCAGATTTTTTTTTCTTTTTCTTTTTCTTTTTTTTTTTTGCCCCTCAGAGGAATGAGTCTGGCGATGGGAAATCAGGATCATCAATACTTAGCAGGTAATGATATCGAACTCTGAGCGCAGAAAACAAGAAAATAAGAATAAAACTGGCCAAGGATTAAAGCCCATAAAACCCCAATGTTTAAAAGTAGAAAAATATGAAGAACCAGAAGATATATAAGTAGATATGTGTATGTGTGTATTTTATGATTCACAGATAAACACTAGAATAGATATGTGTTTGTATATCAGTATATAAGTACCCCAGAACAGAGAAAAGACCTAGCTCAGACTAACCACACTGCCCTTCTACTTACTTATATAGAACAAGAGAGGAAAAGGAAAGACAGACCCCTAAGTCTACCTTACCCTTTTCCTCCCCCCATCAAAAAAATGCATTTCAAATTCTAGCAATGATAAGGATCACAGGCAGATTTTTATAAAAAATAAATACTTGTGCAAGATTCATAAAAAATAACGTTCATATCCTTAAATCTCTAAATTGTGGAGTATTTAGAACTTAGTAAGGTTGCTTATTAAATTCAATTTGCACTGAAAGTCTGAGATGTGCAAGCATAATACATGTTTATAATGTGAAATATTTATTTTAAATGTAGCTGAGAAAATGGAGAATTATGAGCAGGAAATGAATCTAAACTGTTATGACTCATAACTCACATAATATAACTTGTATACCCTAGCTGTTATGTTATAGACTGATAGATTTGCCTAGCTTTACACCTTTTTTAGAGTCAGAAAACACTCATCTCTACCTGAATTCTAAAAACAATCATCATTCCCTAGAATTATTTAGAAATGTTCAACCAAGTTTTCCAGTTATCATGGCAAAGAGGCACAGAGATTACAAACTTTTGCGTAAAACCCAACCCAGCATTGTTGCCATGGCAAGGCTTTGTTTTGCCTTGCCAGTATTTTTATTTTAGGTATTAAATAACACATCTGAGTTGTGCATACATTTATCTATTAATTGATGTCTCTCTACATTTGGCTCTGGTTTTTTATTCCCTTAAAGTACACAATATAAATTTGAGCATACTTCCTATGCTCACTGAACTCAATTGTAACACATTAAAATCAAGCATAGAATCAAACTCATTAGCTGTTAATAAGGAAATATATATAGTTTAAAAGATTAATAACTTCCCAAATCATACATTGAATCACAAAATGTCTCTCCGAACTTAAAAGGATGGTATGTAAGATTTGCAGACACAGATAATTATACTTATATGTTAAATAAGGTTTGCAGACACAGATAATTAGATTCTTTTGTTTTTGTATACATTTGTATATATTATATGTATACATTTCAATGCCTTTTAGAAAAAGTATTAGCTCTTGATATTTGTACAAACAAGTGTAGAAAAACTTGATCCTTCAAAATAAATCTATGTATACCTATCCATTTATTTAGGACAAATTGTTCAGCACAATTGATTTAAATGTTTCTGGATAATTTTATATTTTTATTTTGATCATAAATTGAAAGAAATTTCTTATGGTAAAAATCCCTAATAGAGTGAGTTGAAATTTTTATGGTGATTTGTTCTGTGTCCTACAAAATACTTCAGTGTTTCTTTGTGCTTATTTAAAATGCTTTGCAACAGTTCTTAAGTGGGATTTTAATGAATATTCACTCTGATTTATGATAATATACATAGTATCACCTGGTTAAAATCATTATTCATTATAATTTGGTCTTGGTCATGATAACTAACTCTATAGAAAAAGTAACTTGAAAAACATTTTCTGTATTGAGACAAAATGTTTCTCTATAAACAATAAACAAATTTTAACCTATCTTTGCAGTTAAAAACAAAACAGTATCTTACAACGCTTTCCACTCTTCTCGGTTACACAAAATATCAACTAACAATGTAACAAAGCTCTAGAGGTAGCTACTATTCTGCCTTTTAGAGGAAAGAAGAGTGGCGGAAAGTCAAAAACAGATTTCAGAGTGACTTCCAGTAAGCGACACTTTCAAAAAAATTTTTTTCCCTTTTTTAAAAACTTATTTGAAATGTCTATAAAAATGCCATTTTTAATATCCTTCCAATAATGAATAACAGCTTTTAGATACTACATCATAAGGAGTAATATTAAATATCAATTTATTAGTTACATTTAACAATCAACTGAGATGCACTCATGACCCAAACTGAAACTGTTCAATAAACGTCCATTAAATAGATAATAAATATGCCAAGAGCTTCAAATTAAATGAGTACTTGAGATTCCCATTACATTTTCCTATAGAATACAGCATTTGCATGACTCTTAAGAATTTAAGCATTTTTAATCTCATCAAGGCTCTAATATTTACCCACACCCAGGAAGGGCGGTGGCCCCATAAAAATTTCCGAAGCAAATGACCATTAAAACTATTAGGAGGAAACCAAAAACTTGTTTTAAAATACATTCTGTGCTAAGAATATGCATAAAATTAATATTTTGTAAATTCCCAAGTATATTATTTTAAGCTATCATATAGCTAAGTATTTAATAAAACTATTTCAGTAGTAATTAAATTTTGAGGAAGCAAACTCCAGTTCAAAAAAGAATGGCTTACATGCAACCAAAGCCATATTATGACTTTAAAAAAATCATTTTTTGTTAAAAGGATGAAAATTCACTTACTTTGTCATTAAGATTTCCTCAGACTTTCATAAACTTATATTCACGTATTTGAGGGTTAAGTAACAACATTGCTTTTGTAATATCCTTGAATAATTCATAAACAAAGATACGGATAGACGTTTCTTTTAAATTGTGATTTTCCCCCCAAAACATTTATGCTTTTTTTAAACAGTAACAATATATTCTGTCACATAGCAAGACTTGTCTCTCTGAACTACAATAGCCTTGATCATTTTAGAGTGAGCTTCCTCATTTCCAATCACCAACAGTTAACTTATTTTTATGTCTACTTCAAACCCATGTCTCTCCATAAGGAAAAAAAATATTACTAAGAATACATTAACATACTTGTACTTACCGGTAACAAACACTCCTGCATCCAGAAAGGCAAAGGCAAATGCCCAAAGTTTAAGCCACAAGTACATGGTCATATCTGGAAATCAGCCGTATTCCTATGAAACAGCATGCGTCCTTCTGAAAGGCAAAATAATAGTTATCTCTGCAAAAGGTTTTCTTTGTGAAATTGAGTGAAAAATAAAAGAAATGAATGCATACTCTTTGCTGTTGTCTTATCACACAGGGAGCAATTTCCTCCTCTGTTACCCTAAGAACAAACCACTCTGGTAGCTACAGAAACTGCTAGGTAGTGATGTCAGATTCGGTTTTACTAACTTCTCCAAAAATACTGTCAAGAATCCTCTTTGCAGGAAGTCAAGAAAGTTGTTCAAAGTCAGTGCAAAAGTATCTTACTTCCTTAATTCAAGTAATTAGGCCAAGTTAGTAGGCCTTTTAAAAGATTTTTTCCTTCAATGAAGATGTTTTCTAAAGCTTTAAATAATACTCTCTTACAATATTTCATTACAACTTAAAAAAAAAAAAGAAGTCATATCCCCATCCCCAAAAAATCAATAATTCTCTCACCTAAGAGATGATAAATCAGATCCAGGGTGGGTATACCAAAATGGGGTTGGCAAGATGACACAAGGATTGAATTAGTAGAAAATACTTCTGTTTGATTCAAAATGACCAAAGGAGCAAGTAAACAATTACCTATCTGGTTATTTTTTGCAACCAGTATCATTTACTAGGCAGACATTCAAACCCCACCAATATAACAGTTTTAGCAGTCAAACCCATTTTCTATGCAAAAGCACTCTCAGAAAGCTTAACAGCTTTGCCCCAGATCTTTCACAGATATCCTCATGGGGCTAGCAATGGAATCAGAAAGTCACGTCTACAGCAGCAAATCCTGCTTCAAAAAAAGAATGCTTCTGTGACTTGAGAGGTCTTTAGGCTGTTGATGAGGGTATGAAGGGCAATGAAATCGAGAGCTGGGAGGTTGTTGCTGGTTTTGTTGTTGTTGTTTTTACAAAGCTAACCTTTTTTTTTTTTCCTCCTCAGCAATACACTCCCAATCTTTTTGATTAAAAGACAGCAAATTAATATACAGCCTTCTTCATGATTCTGATGGTGCTCTTAGCAAGTCCATCAATTAGGAAAATGCAGACTGGCAGAAAGCTACAGTGAATTCAGCAACACAATTGAATAAATTGGTATCATTATCACAATATCCGATTCATTTAAAACCAATAGTGCGCATGTGCAAAAGACACGATGATTTGAGCCATATACGGTAGTTATGGGACTTACAAACAGAACCTTGCAGTAACTCTACAATCCTCAGGTAGAAAGCACAATTTAAGGGTTCTTGTATTTCAGTGAATAGATCTTTTCATATTTACAAACTCATTATTTTATTCGTCACTGGCTACTGGGAACTACACAGCCAAATTTGTACACCCTTTGAGCAAATGAAAATAATCCCACATCTGAAATTCTGAATAATAACATTATAATGAGATTTTTGGTATGATTTTTATTTTATTTTGATTACCATACCATACCATAGTTAACTTATTGGGTTTTTACTATGTCCCGAAATATGCTTAACACTTTAACTGCATAATCTAATTTGTACAACAATGCTTGAGACAAATAATGTTATTACTCCCCATTTTACCAATCTAGTTCAGAGGGCTTAGGTGGTATGTCCAAGTTCTCATAGCTAAAAAGTAGACAAGTTGTGTTTTGAAATCTCTAAGTTTCATGTTACTTTCCTTTCTTGCTTTACTAAACTTCTTCGTTTTTCTCACTTCTTTCTCCAGTCTTTTTTACTATGTATTTTTAAAAATTTTAATCTCTAAAAGTTAGAACATTGATTCCATAAAAAGGATGCTCTTCTCTTTTTGCAAGTGTCTTTTCAAATAAAATTGCTGTGAATATAAACACTACTCTTCAGGAGGTAAGCTTCATGAGAAACATGTGTCAGGAGGCACAAGTTCAAGTACTCAGCTTTCAAATTTATTTCTCCAAATACATTTGCAATGGAAAACTCTCCAGGAGTTAGCTTTATCTACCTGTAAGCAAACACTTGTGTTCTCTTAGCTTGCTACTATGGCAGCTTATTTGGCAAAACTAGAAGCCAGGAAGACAGTGCATGACACTCAAGGGAGTTAAGTATAAGAAGTACCCTCTACAACAAGCTAAAGCTAGGAGGGGTTTAGAAGCCTTAAAGAGAGATTTTTAAAGGGGCTTTGTAGATCATGACTTTGAAGAAACAGTAAGAACTTAAATTAAATTCCATTTTAGACAAATAGGCAGAGAGATTCTACCCAAGAAACACTGAGATTAATTAGGAATACCTGAGTTGAATTATACATTTTGTTTTAATGTATTAAAAATGAGTCTACTGTCTATAGGAAATATTAGACTTTGGGTAGCAAAATTTATGTTGTATACTGCAAAGGTATAAAGAAATAGAGCCTAATGTAGACAGAAAGCAATGGATAGATTTGCACTCAGTTCACATATTCTCAGAATGGAGGCAATGGTGAGCCAGAGGATTGATACCCCTTGAGATGCAAAGAGCAAGGAGGGAGACAACAAGGAAGACCCTAGCGGTTTGCTGGGGGAAGAGCACGCCTCTCTTTGAGAGTGGACAGCTCCAGACTGGATTATCTAGGCAGAAGTCTGGTTAGTAGTGAGGCTTTCCACGGGGCATCTGAGGAAATCTATCATGTATGGGTCTAGCATCCAAACCCTAGACAGGAGGAGCAGAACTCTCTTACAGAAATAGGACTATTTGTGACAATCTGATGTGATCTACTCTCTTGATTCTGGGAGAGTGGGTGGGCTGCTGATAAATGTATGTATTTAAGAACGACTGAGAACAACTGAGGCTGGGAAGGGACCAGGGAACATCAGAATTTAAATGTAGTAAAGAGAGTGGTACTTCTTGAGTGGTTGAAATAGTATGTAGCCAGAATGGCCACAAAGCGTTATCAATAAAATTTTAAAATAATCATAGCTGACTTAAAAGAGAATCTAAACCATAATATTAAATAAGTAAATAATATTTCATTTAAATTAATCATCATTTCCTAAACCTTTCAGTCACATATAATAAAGGTTTTGTAAAGAACAAAGGGGCACCTGGGTGGCACAATAGGTTGAACACTGGACTCTTGGTTTCAGCTCAGGTCTGATCTCAGGGTGGTGAGATCAAGCCCCGTGTCAGGCTCCAAGCTTACTGTCAGGCTCCAAGCTTAGTATGGAATCAACTTAAGAGTTTCTCTCCTTGTCCTTCTGCCATTTCCTCCCCCAACTCCCTCTTCCTCTCTCGCACATGCTCTTTCTCTCAAATAAATACATTTTTTTAGAAAGGATAGAAACAGATTACATGAGATTAACAGCAGAAGCAGACATTATCCATTCATTCATTCAACAAATATGTAGTTATTTCCTAGCATATAAGACATTTATTTTCTCTAATACAAAGAAAGAATGGTAAGCAGAACAGACGTGCTCCCTCTCTATTCCATTTTAGTGGAAGAGACAGTAATTCATTAACTAATTGCAGTGACAAATTCAGCACACAGGACATACTTGATTTAAGTGAATAATAAGGTATTTGGTCTAGTTGTGAGGTGACATTTGCCTGAAATAAAAAGCATTGAAGGTAGACCTAAAAAAGTAATGGAAGATGAGTGGGCATGGGGAGGAAAAAAAAAAAAAAAAAGAGCATTCCGGGCAGAAAGAACAATATATTGAAAGAAGGAGAGTGTGTTCAAGGAACTGAACGAGACATGTGTTGCTGGGATAAAGAGAAGCAGAGCTTGGAATGTTGCAATATATAAATATATCAAATCAACACATTATATACCTTAAACTTCCACAATATCAATTATATCTCAATTTTAAAAAAAGGAGACATAAAAGAAACAAACAAACAAACAACAACAACAACAACAAGAAAACACATGTGGCTTCCGAGGGAGATGATAGCCAAACTGTGCTAGGCTTTGTGGTTCTAAGAATTTAACCTTACTTAAGAGATACTGGGAGCTATTGAAACTTTTTAAGACTTAATCTTCTTGCCAATGAAACCACTTTGCCAGATCTTATACCATCACTTATTTCTCTGTTCTCATCTTACATGATTTCTCAGAAGCATTAAATATGGTTAACTCTCCCCTAATCCTTATCTTTTGCCAGTTTCCAAAATACCATCACCTCCTGATTTTTCTTGACCCTCACTGTCATATCCCTAGCAGCTGCCATGTTGAGTCCTCTTCCTCTACCTGACTTCTAAGGATTGTGATACATTGAAGCCCAGTTCTGGGTCTACTTCTCTCTTCCTGGGTAAGCTCTTTCATGCTGATGACTCACAGATATATACCTCCAGCCAGATCTGCTATTCAGGTCTCTGGAATCACATTTGGTCCTGCCTTCTTGACATGTACACTACACTGCCTCATGGCCAACTCAATGGAACGTGAAAGTCTTTTTAAACCTGCCCTAGCTCCCGATCTTATCCATATCTGCAAATGTGCCAATATATATCAAATAACTTATGCCAGAAACATCAGTATTATTTTTTATTTCTCTTGTTCTGTCACAATTGCATTCAATTTATTCTATCTCTACCATCTTAACTGTGCTCCTTTTCCAATTATATCATTTGGGACCAAGCCGCCATCACTGTTGAAACAGCCTTTTAACTGATCTTTGAGCTTCTATCTTATCTCCCTTCAGTATTTCCTCCACAAGCAATAGATTTGATCTTTTCCAAATACAAGTTAAATTATGATAGATCCTTAACACCTCTCAGTGGTTTCCACTTTACATGTTGAATAAAATCCAGCTTTGGTACACATTCTCAACTCATGTAATGCCCCTTTCCACCTTGTTCACACTAAACTAGCCCTTCCATGTTCTTCTCTATTTCAAAATCATGTTTGTTTTTTCCAAATCTGGGGATATATTTGTTTATTCATAGCCACTTTCCCCATTAGTACCTAAGCCTATATTCTGGATGGTAAACTATGAGGTATAAGGGATGCTAATTACAATGTTCTGGATGGTAAACTATGAGGTATAAGGGATGCTAATTACAGTGGTTGCCATAAATGATATTTGTTGAATGAATGAGTGAAAAGACTGACATATGAAGCTGTGATGTGGCCAACATATTGAGAGTTGGCAAGAGTAGGGCCATCAAAATTGTTGGGAAGTTTGCTGTATTACAGGAAATGCGTGATGGCAGCAGAAATGTTTACCAGTGAAATAAATGGCTGAATTACTTAACACCAGCAATTATAAAACTT